CTTGTGTGATTCGCTTGTGTGATTCGCTTGTGTGATTCGCTTGTGTGTTGCCTTGAGTGGTTGATTCGTCAGAGCCTTCCTACGGTTGATTCGCTGCTCTCTTTTTGTGCATCATTCGCTGGTAGAATTTGTCGTTCGTTAGCTGGAAACTCCGTCATGCTTTCCAGTTTCTTTTCGAACAGCCCCAGTAAGAAGTATGATCACGACAGAACCTAACCCTCTTGCAGACGAGAGAACAGACCTTTGCCTGACCCGAGTTTCATTGCCCTGTAACAGTCCGAAGATGAAAGAAGTCAGCACTACAATACCCTTTGCCCTTTAACCAACATTAGGTCCGATTGCCACCGAGTCCCACCGGGAGTTCCTGGTCGAACGGATGTTCCGATCCCGCCGACCGCACGGAACGGACCTCTGCGAGGCTGTTTGCCTTTTGCGACCGCGACAAGTCTGGCACGTTGGATTGGAAAGAGTTCAAGCACCTGGCGAGGGAGACCTTGGGAGTCCCTCAAGAAGCGGTTTCGAAGCAGAAGGGAGATCCATTTTGCTCTTTTTGTTTGCAGCATTCACATCATATGTGTTTTTTCCCCAAACAGTTTACTGTTGGGGTTCTATCTTAGAAAATTAGAGCTGGCCACACTCACTGGCCGCGCCTCTGAACTCTGTGGCTGGGCTCTGTGTCCGGGCCTTGTCCTCCTCTTGTCCTTGTCTGGCTGGGCTCTGTGGCCCGGCTCTGTGTCCTCCTCTTGTCCTTGTGGCCGCGCCCCTGAACTCTGTGGCTGGGCTCTGTGGCCCGGCTCTGTGTCCGGGTCTTGTCCTCCTCATGTCCTTGTCTTGGCCGCGTCCCTGAACTCTGTGGCTGGGCTCTGTGTCTCGGCTCTGTGTCCGGGCGTGCAGTTCCCAAACAGCTGGAGGCTTTAGAAAAGTATACTTGCTTTGGTTTCCACCAACATTGAATTTTCGGAGTTGACGCCGACGCCGAAAAAATGCTGACGCTGCTTGGGGTCTATGCTGGTATATGATTTTTTCAAAAGAAAAAAATCCCAGACATCCTATATAGAGTGGCTGAAGTTTGTATTCCGGTCGGGATTTTAACATCGCAGATGTCACCTCAGAGGTCTTCCTGTTCTTCGGATGTCGGCAGGTTTGTGATGCTGACTTGCGGCAGCTCTTTCGCCGCTTGGACCAGGCCCCGGAGTCCGACCTCGGAGTCCTTGCGACGTCCTCGCGACATCCGTGTCCCCCCAAATCCCTTCGCAGCGAGGTCGTGAGTACGTTGATCCCTCGCATAGATATTTGTTCGTTGGTTGGATGAATACATATGAGGACTATAGAGTCGGTATACTAGCTCCCCGGTCGGATGTCGTACATCGGTGACACTGAGTACTGGTGATGCTGACCCCTCGATTCTGCAAATCAAACCCTCACCTGGTTCCGCCGGATGCCGTTCCGCAGGTGGAAGACCGACCTGGTCTGGGCTTAAAAGGTGGCGAGCTGGTGGATCTCAGCCGCTTGGGCCCCAAGCGAGGTTGGTGGGCTCCGGTCGATGGCGGTGGTGCGGTCGGGGTTTGGCTCCGAGAAACGAGGCTTTCGACCGCCTACCGGCGACCAGGGATGGGTTCGCTTCGTTAGCACGTCCGAGTCGGACGTGCTCACGTCATAATTGGGCTGAAAAGGTTTCTATTTCTTTTCACATTTTTTTTTTGGTGCCGTCTCTCTCGAATTGGAGATTCGGAGGGTTTTGGGATTTCCCGGCTCTCCGTATACTGAAAACGTCTGTCAGGTGAGCTGCTGCACTACTTGGCGCGTGGGGAGATGGAGCCGGCGGTGCTGCAAGCGCGGGCCAAGCAGCGCGTGGAGCGGGTGCGACGCAACATCATGATGGCCTTCTTGAGACCTGACTGGAAGGTGCCAGGTATGGCTAGAGCTTTTGATGGGTACACAGGAGATGCTAACCAGAGCTGGCCAGAAGGCTCCCAGGACCCAAGAGGTAGCCACAGGCACCTTAGCAGCATACCTGAGGTTTAGGTGTTTGAGTCGCTGTGGTCTTCTGGATCTGTCAATGTGTCCTTCTGGCTCACAGCGATTGACGTCTGACCTCAGCACTTCTGACATGGGAATCGGATGGTCATTCGGAGTCATTCAGTTTGCATCTCAAAGACGGGGCCAACACCAGCCCATCGGGAAAGTGAATGCTCACCTCTGTACAAAGGAATCCCCTCATTTTGTCCCGGTGTGAATTACCTCTACAATTTAGAGGGCCTTGATTGAAGGTCCTTATAAAACGCAATTCTAGAAAGTTGTAACGTATTTTTGTAACGTCGGGGCCTTCGAACTTGTAGAAATGGACGTTGGGCGAAGTAAAATGTATCTATGTCCTTGTATTTTGTAGATGTAAACATGTTCTGCATTTGGACGTCGGGCGGCTCATATTATAGAGAAGTACTCGGACCCCCCAGAAAGTATTTTGTAGAAGATCTATGTGAAAGGTCATAAGAAGGCTCAGTATTCTATAGAGATGTCTCTGTCCCATCAATCTGTAGAGCAATCAGCCGGTTTGTGCCATCAATCGGGGATGGATGGTGCCAAGCGTAGTGTGTGTGACAGACAGACCAGTGTGTGCAGAGAGGAAAAGCATTGAGAGATGTCAGAGTCGAAAGAGTGGGTGGGAGGCACGTTTTTTCTACAAACTGACAGAGAAAGAGAAAACATGTCTACAGAATACATTGCACGACGTTTGACTATCCCAACATAGCCCTCTCTACAGAATAGAATTCCAGTGTCAGCCATGTCATCTTGCCCAAATCTCAAATCATCAAACACACTGTGTTTTTGCATGTTTTTGCAATGTTCAATCTTGCCAGATGAGAAGGCCTTATTTCAGAAGGCCATTCATTCTGTAGACTGGTGGGGCGTCAGTTCAGCTATTCTGTAGACCTGGAGCAGGCAGGCCCGATTTGTACCTATAGAATGGGGCCCCAACCCTTATCCCAAAATCCACACGGGGATCTCATTTCAACATTTTTCAGCTCCGTTGGGAGAGTATCTTTTTGGTCGCCTTGAAGTCTTCATCAATCATTTTCTTGACCGCTAGATAGTGATAGTCAGAACATGTTGGAACCCATGGGAACCCTTTTCCATTTTCATCTATCTTCTTCCAATCGTCACTCGTCTCAGTGTTTCCCTTTGTCCAACATGTACATGTTTCTTCCATATATATATATATATATACATACATGGACTTTTTCGAAGGGTCTCGAGCTGAGGAAGTTGGATCTCACCAACCTCGACCCCCGTCGCTTGTTCCAGCGCATCGACTTGAACTCTTCCAATCGGGCGTCTCGGAGCAGCACCGCGACGGCGTCTCTCCGGGTGGGTGTGGCCGCCGTGGCCTGACCTGGGACCAATGAACGGCCCGGCATATGGAGACGAAAAGGTCATCCACCGCAGCCTAGAGCGGGCAGCCTAGAATGGAGGCTCAGGTGGTCTGAGGGTGAGGGACCACATTTGTTGAAGTGTGGATTCCAAAAGCTAACAAGAATCTCAGATTGCTCCACTGAGGTGTCATTATTTGAGTTCGAAGAATTTGTTCGTGGAAGGCTCATGCTTTCCCACTGGGACATAATGCCGATGGATCTCAAGGACATTTCCCAGATTTTTGTAGCTTTGGTTTGCCATGTTCGGTTCTCTATTTATTTATTTATTTATTTTTTAAATCATAATTCTGTAGTTCCCCCATGCATATTTCAACTTTGCTTATCGCGCGGCATTCGCCCCTCTTCGTTCCATTTTTTTCTTTGCTCACCAGGATTTCTATCACTTTCTGGACCGTGACGGGGATGGCATTGACATTTATGAGTTCGTGGATTATGTGAAGAGGGTGAAGAAGTCCCGCGAGTCCTTGGGTGCGCAGAACCTCCAGGTGCCCACCTGGACAATATGCACACGAAGAAAGCAACAGACATTCAAGGATCAGCTGATTCAAGATCTCCAGAACGGCACGAGCTCCTCGGGAAGAAGCATGCCGAACCTGCACGACATGAGCTCTTCCTTCGTGAATGTGGGGCGACAAAAGCGCCCCACCAATCGATTTGCCGCTTCGGGCATGTTGTTTTTGGCCTAGCCAAAGAATACGTTTCACCTGAACATGCCCCATGCTCCAGTGCCGAACGGCTGGTAGTCATGGTCGTCGGTCCAAACCGAAGGAAATGGCGCTTTCGTGGATGCGGACGACTGGTTTTCGGAGTGGTTTCTTCGGACCCGGCAGAAAGTGACATCGAACAGCTTGGGAAGGCATGGTATCCTGGTATTCCTTGATGGTTCGGACCCTGCTGCAACCCGTTGCAACAACTCCTTTCGTGCTCCTTCTCATGCCTTGGCCATTGTAAACACGTCCAACCTTGAACAAACACGACCCCGTCTGCAGCATTCCGACCAAGACGGAAGCTGCAAAACATGACATAGACCCGTGCAGTAGATGGCAGACACTTTCAAACCGCTACAGGCAACACATACATACTGTATTATGTACTATAGATATAGACATTTTGTGTCCGGGTCTGCCTACTAAGGCCATGCCCCGTAATTGGCCAGCCACCATGGTGACCGTCCTTCCATTTCTGCTGATAGTGGCAGTTGCAGCAGAGTTTAGCATAAACTATCCTAGCCTTGAGGCAGAGGTGACTTTGAAGGCCGGTGGCTACTGGCACTTGGGTGGCTTCTGCTTTGGACAGGATGACAGCAATGTGGCTAGGTTGAAGGTGCAAGTAGACTGGAAAGGCTCTAGGCCGCTTGAAGATGCGAGTGTCTACTTGGTCGGCTTTGATGGAAGGGAGGATCGCTGGGGTGTAGCCAGTGAGACATGGAGCCTTAGGCTGAAATGATGACATTTATATAAGGGCTTTTTGGTTTGATCATTTGCAACTTAAAGTTTCATCATTTCATAATCTGAACATGTTTACACTGACTTTCGACGCTTCTGCAGCAAGGAACCGGACCACCTGCGAGGACAAGTGGCAGATGGCAGTTGCTTGGGACTCTTCCACGAAGCTCGGGACTCGAGGCCAAGCCTTTGTGGTCAAGGTGCTGCAGAAGACGGGTGTGCGTGACTGGCACTTCGTTTTGCTGTCCTGTGGCTCCGTGGAGGCTGTGGAGCTCCAACTCAAGATCCAAGCGGAGAGGGGTGCCCTTTCCTACTTCGAGGCCAACACGCATTTTGATCACAGTAGCTGTCCGGTGTTGCCAACCAGCTGGTGGCAACAGGCAAGTTCTGCATTGGGATTCTGGGTAATGCTGCTCATCGTTGTGGTTTGTAGCTTCTGCATGGCCTTCTTCATTGGGTGTAGTGTACGTCTTTGCGGGCTGCAGGAGTACACAACCACGGTAGATGCAGACGTCGTTGGCAAACCATGTGAAATTCTACACGATGAGAATATTGCAGAGGGACATCCGCATCATTTAACGAAGGAGCTGTAGCACTTCTTTTTTCAGAGAGTTGTACAGTTTCTGAACGTGTAAGCTCAGCTTTGTTGCTCGAATTCAGTGCTTGAAGTCCAGGCAGAAGGTTGCATGGATTTGCAAATTTTGCCTTGCCAGCGAGTGCAAGAAGGACGAAGAGAATACAACAGATGCTTTTTGGGATGATTGTTTTCAGCTCCCTACACAGCCCCCAAATGTGTTCCGCCTTCCTTTCTCGGTCCAAACTTCCTTTTGCTTGCAAACAGAGCCTCTCGGTCGGCGGCTTTTTTCGGGAAGCGTTTTCGCTCTTCGTAGGTCTTATAGACCGTCCCGGCCACAGGTCCTCTACCCCATTTCTAACGCGGATGTCACCTAAACCCTGCAGCCAAGAAGAGCTTTTCGAGAAGAAGGTGCCTTTCTTTTCAAAGGGGATCAAAGTGGAAGACAAGGGGGATGAGGGAGTGATTGAAATCTCACCCAATCCAATTGGAAGTGAAATGGAAGTGATTCAATGGATGAAATCTCAATCCTGATGGACAAAGGACAGTCAGCTTCTTTTGCACGTGCGTGTGTATGTGTGTGGGATTCTTCCGTCGCCTGCCTGGGGCACGCTGACAGAAATTCGCTGAGTGGTTGAAACATAAACCCTTGAATCCCAGAGGGGAAAGTGGAGCAAAAGCAAGTGGTTGAATGAGAAAGTGAGGGGTCAAAGCAATTGGGACAAATTCAGCTTGCTAATTGCAAGTGCAGCGTTTGTTCTTTCCCATCATGCGTTCTTGCCCCAGTGTTTGGTTGTTCTGGCTTTTGAGTCAAGACCTGGATCTGATGATTCTCGTGAGCCTGTTCTTCCCAGGACTTGGAGATTTCGTCCTTGAAGGACTTGGCAGCCCTCTTGAAGTCTTGGGAGGTCTGCCTGTCGGGAGTCGGATGGGGAGAGGAGACCTCTGGTGGTCCTGCCTCTCGGCGTCGGACCGTGGTCCCAGGCTCTTCAGCCGTGGGGAGGTCGGAAAGCGAATGAAGGACTGGCGCAGGTGGCGCCGGTACCCACAACATGATTGCATCCCTTTCCATTAAGGGTACCGGGTCCCCAACACCTTTGATTTGGTTTCGCTTGACCGTACGGAATCCACGATTTTAGGTGGAGAGTCGCTGAGTCGTTCAAACCTTCGCGCAGAAGCAGCGTGACCTGCGGGCTGCGGGCCGCGGGTTGCTGCAGGTCAGTGTCATTGGAACTGAGGGCTATCCGAAGGCAGGAGAGAACGGGGCCAACTGCAGAGATTAGGAAGCACTATAGGATGGTCTAGTACTGTCCAGGCCAAGGCTCTGTTCGCAAATGTCAGAATTGGAACAGACCACTATGATGGAAGCAGCAACTGGGGTCAAGAATCACACCCGCAAGAGCATGCGGTCTTGCGCAAAAAGGCCCGAACAAAGGCCTCCAACAATTCCCTTTCCTTTTCACGCATGAGAGAACAGGAAGATTTGTCTCCAGTCTCCCTGGTTCACTCGCCGATGTCGGAGCCCTGAGGCCGAAGTGACCTGTGGTGGGGTCAGCACGCAGGAACTCTCCGTCGAAGTCTCAGGGAGCCACAAAAACCGGCGAAAACTGGGGAGATCTTCTTGCTCCTAGTAGTAAGGATGCTCCTAGTAGTACGGCCAGGAGCCCCTAGTAGCGTCCTTGTTCCTAGTAGAATGTATGTTGAACAACAACGTATTTTGTTGTGGTGGGATATGTTGGGTGATTGTACAAAGTACATCAAAGTACAAAGTGGGATGAGCCTCAATGCTGTTTCTACATCGTGATTCAGGAATCCATTGTGCAATTGTGTAAGCTGCTGCAGAGTTGTACAGAAGTGCCGATGGCTCCGACAAGGCAGCGAATGGTAGCGATGTTTTGTCGATGATGCGTTCCACTTTTACGGCTACTCTCAACAAGCAGTTTGACTGACAAGAACCCAAGAATCCTGACCTTTGTTCGCAAAAGAACACAATCCTTTTTTGGCACAATCTTATGCCCTCCGTGATGGTCACTTGAACAAAAGACTGCTTTAGCCAAGACCGACGGGGTTTGCCCAAAAGCCGGTGGACCACGGACGCGAAACGGAATGAGGATGAGACGATGGAGTGCAAGAAGCACCCGGGCCTCTATTTCATTGGTGAGGCCAACGGTCGCGATCGCATGGTCGCACGGCATAAGGCGACATGAAAGAATGTGAAATCATTTTGTTGCCCTGACTTCACGTGGTTTGGTGCATGAACATCATAAATGATTTGTGACCCATAGGGTTTCATGCTCCATTCCCACCATCCAGGGTTTTGCGGCATTTGGTCAGCGAGACATGTTGACTCCGTTTTTCTTCTGCGTTTTCGTAGATCCTGCAGAGTGGTTTTTCTCAAAGCTTGGGCCGGTGCCGTTCAATGCCGGAAGAACTCCTGCACTCTCCGTTCGTTGGGGAAGCTGGTTCGACGCTTTCCTAGTTCTTCGGAGCTCCTAGTTGGATCCCTTTCCAAGAAGAGTTTGGCACTTGGCCGCGCTTGGCACTTTCGTGAGGCAGTTGATGTGACTGGTTGGTTGGGAGGCACTGAAGTCACGCTCTCGCGCGAAAATATCGGGGGAGAGGCAAGAGGCACAGATTTCTTGGGTTTATTAATATATTATAGTTATATATAGACGATGGCTGTAGAGATGGCAGACCAAGACAGAATTCGGGGTCTGTGCCCTCACCACCAAGAGTCAGCAATTCCTGTTTTCACGATGTTTGGTGGAGGAGCATCCTACTACCGTCATAATCCACTGTGAGTGGTGCAGAGCTTGGATAGTAGAGGCTGTGAGAGTTTCCTCGGTTTCCAAGGACCATTGGAACCACTTCTATCGTGTGAACATCGGAAAAAATAACATTGTGTAATTTGAACCTTTTCTCGCACTTGCTTTCCACCCGTGCCTTGGTCATCGGGGATTTTCAGTTGCTGAAACAACCAGTGAGACAAGCTTGAGACTTGCCAAGAAGCCCCCCAAGGGCTTGATCAAACCCATCCCTTTCAGGCTACAACTTCCAATGGGCTTGGGCTTCGGGATTTGCCGCAGGCGCCGTGCCCGGCGGCTCAGGGGGAGGCCATGGATTTTAGGACCGTTTAGATGAGTTGGCCTTTTGACTTGGCGGGTGCTTTGCTGATTTGCATCCAGAGCACTGGAAGTTTGTATCGGATGGTAATCCTATGTCATCCTTGCCAACTGTGACGCGGCTGGTGTCACACCCGCTGGGCATGCGAGCAGAGCATGTCGTTCACAGGCCGCATGTTTTATGTAAGAAATGAATGGAGTGAAGACGTTGCTGCCCAACCCAAAGAGATCGGAGAGTCTCAAATGGAGCAGTCCACGGGAAGGCCCTCGCTGCTGAAGCTTTCTTCACCGGATTTTGCAGGGGTTCTGCACGAAGTTGGAAGATGGAAGATGTGTTTGTTGCAGAGGTGAAGAAACACGAGCTGGTCAGGGTCAGCCAAAGTACCCGCATTTGTTGCAGACGCTAATCTCTAGCCTAAATTTGAGGAGATTGAAGCCTCACAACAGCCATTGACCCATTGATGTTGACACGAAAGCACATGCGACTCGGCTCACATCAGTTTCTTTAAGCGATCACTGGGATAACTGCGAGGCAAAAGAACCACTGCATCCTTGTGGCCTCAGAACCAACACTGAACATACTCTCACTTCTCCCAAGTCACCCCGTCTTCGTTCCCGTCGGCGACTGAAACGCCTCAGGTGCTGAGAGCTTGCCGGAGTGAACGAAAAGGGGTGGCGACCGACCGACCGCCGCGGATCGGGGTGAAAAACGGCGAGACCACGGTCGCACGGTTTCTGTTCGCGCAAAAGTGCCAGGAATTCGAAGGTAACGAACGTCGCAGGGTTTTGCCACTTTTTTTCTGCTGCAGATCCTTTGCACATGTTGGGAAGTGGCCGTTGGCCACGCAGGTAGTAGAACCTAATGGACGGACCCAGAAATATGGTCTCAGACCTACTCTGAGACACTGAATGGGACTGGACTCTGACCTCAACAATAATGGGGTTCTTTGTTCGATTATGGAATGTCTCAGTACAATATCAGCTAAACCGTTTCTGGATGTGATGTGAGGGCATCCAGAGGTCGGCACTTGCGGTGCCGAAACCCGGGAAGATGCACATGGAGCTGGGCTTTGCATGGATGACGATATGAGGATGCTCTACAGTGGTCTCCAGTGGGAACCGGTTCCATGAAGTGCTTTGTTGGGCGTAGATCCTTCGATCGTCCAACCCTTCGACTCAATGAAACCCCACCCGGACTCTGCTGGTTTCACGTTTCGACTCGGACTCTGCTTTTGAAGCAACTCACGGTTGGCTCCCAGGTCGAACCCAACGACGGTTTGTTTGAAAACGGTTGGACTCTCCGGTGAGGCAGACGGTGTCACATGACGGTGTTTTCACATGTCTGCAGATGTCTTTCGCTCCGCACAGCACGAGGGAACAAGCCATTTCTCACGATCGCTTTGGGGAATTGCATTTTACGCGCTTGAAATCGCCTTCGGAGGGTTCACACTCATCGGTGCTCCCAAGCCGATCACACCAACCCAATCTCTCTCTATATATATATATATTGTAAGCATCTGTAAGTGATTGAGTCTGCGAAGCTCCATGAGGCTCCATGAGGCGTCCTGGAGGCTCCAGGTGAGGATAGGTTACAGACACGTCCAGACAGTCTACGAAAAGAGAAATGAGAAGATTAACTTGGACAAAGTGGCTTCTTCCAAGCAAATTTGGTCGTTTGTTGGGGGATCTATGCGGGAGATCAAACAAGAGATGGTGGCCTCGCCCAAGAGATGACAGCTTCTGAAGTTCGCGGGTTGCATGAGCTTTCGCACGGTTTGCACGGCAGAGCGCCGCCATTCTGACCATGCCACTGGCTCCATCAGGACATAGCTAGATCGAAGCACAAGAGCTGCTTTGGATCTGGGACTCTCCCCCTGTTCGGCCGATTTTGGGGGGCTCCTCTCATGGGTTCCAATTTTTCATTGCAGATCTTTGAGGGACTGAACTCTGAAGTAGTTTTCTGACACAATCTTTCACCTGAACTCTTGGGCCCTAAGCAATCGGCGAAAGCAGCCGACTTCGAAAAGCCAACAGTGCCGGTCTGTCTTTATGCCGGTCAGCGCAACAACTTGCAACGTTCCCCCTCCGGAGGGGCCCCGTTCTTTTCCCGGGCAGATGCAGATTTGTGGCCACTGAAGCAGGACGGGCTGAGCCGGAGGGGTTTGGGCTCTCCAAAAGAACAAAGTGCTCATGTTTCAGAAGAGCATCTTTTGCACGTACTGGTCAAACGTACACTATAATATCTACTTCATCAATTGCATAGTTTATGGGAATTCCCTCCAACACCTCAACACATGTGCGAACAATGGCCTGATGAGAGCCAGTTCTTTAGAAAAGAACACCAAATCGTTGTGTGCGGAGTCCAGTCGGGCCTTTCTTTGGGGGGCAGGAATTTCTCCAATATATCGTCCTTCAAAGATTGCCACATGAACATGAAATGATATGGGCTTGTTTCCGCAATGTCTTCCTCATCCGTCTTGCTAACATCATTGTTTTTATTATACTATTGTTTTTAGCTACAAGGATTACCGGAACACTTGATGCACTTTGGGTTCCTTTGGGTCTATTTCTATGTCACTTTTGCTTTGTATATTTGTTTGCATACGGGAAGAGAAGACATGCTTGTTAAATTTGCTTGTTAAATTCGCAAAGTCCCAAGGGGGAAACAGCACAAAAGAACATTATCCAACTACACCGGCTCATGACAGGAGAAATGGCATGAGACGATGAAACCGTTCATCCGACAAGGGGACAAATGGTTTTTGGAAAGCGCTCAACGAATTCCTGTCCCCAACGGTCCAGCTACGTTTTCATGTCACCCTGGAGTGGATTTCATGGAAGGTCCAGCAACCAAAATACCAAAGGTCCGCAAATCAATCGTCCTAAGTTCTAAGTAGTCATGTTGAGCAATAACTTGAGCCGTTTGGGGCTCCAGAAGCCCAGTCAAGCGAACGTTGAGTCTCAGTGTGCGTTCGAAACACAGGTTTCTTTTGAAGCGTGTGTGGACGTCGGCATTGCCGTGGACAGGCGGGTCAATGGATTTTGTGGATTTCAGCGTTTACCTCATGAGTGGGAGGTTTGCGACCATCTCCTGCTTGTGTACTGAAACACTGGAGAACCTTCAGCAACAGATTTGTGCAGAGCTGGATCTAAAGTCCGTCCACGGTGATGCCATTCCTCTGCTCAGTTTTTTCCAATCTGGATTCAGCACACACCTGTTGCATCTCAATACCATGGCACGTGAACTTCAAGGATGCAGCATTCAAGTCTTACAGGAAGCTCATCCAGAATGGTGTCGCGGGAAATGCTTCTTGAACCAATCTCAGTCGTTAGACTGGGACGTTGAGGAAGAGGTCATTGAATGGATTGCCCTCTTTTCGGATGGGCACTTCCGCTACCTCCGGCGCCGATCCTTCTGGACGAGGACCACGAGTGAAGCGACTGGTCCCGAGGCGATTGACCACGAGGAGCTGGAAGGGGTGGGCCGTTGGGACTGCGCTTGGGACGGTGCCACGAAGGAAATGGTCATGCTGGAGGGCATGGTGAGCGCAGAACGTGGAAGGAGCGTGGCTCGACAGATACACATGACATTTCCCAGATCGATCCTCGAGAGCTATGAAAGCTTCTGTTTGGAGGAACACAAAAGTGTTCTGCCAAGCTGAATTCGCGAAACAAGTTTTCATGAAGGATTCACTTTTTGATGAACCTCATGTGCGAGTTCGCCAACAACATTCCCCACCCAGGAAAGACCGTGGGAAGAATCAATGGCCTAGCCGATTTCTTCAGATGTTGAGCATGTTTGAGCTGTAAAAAGCCTGGTTTGGAAGAAGGAGGGCCGCGGTGCGTTTTTTGAGCGTTTTCTAAGAGTGCCTCGTCCACCTGCCTGGATGCCATGAATCTCTGGATTCATGGCAATGTTCCTCGGTTGGCCGCCTCAAACTGCTTTTTTCGCATTGGGTTTTTGACTCCTTCCGTGCTTTGGCATTTCTAGCAAATGCTTCTTCCGGAGATATGATAGGGAAATCCTGGTGAGGAATTTGTCTTCAACTAAACCACGAAATACGCTGCAATTTCTGACAGGAAGCACCTGTACATCCAATGCTCTTCTCGTCAACATCGAGCACACCTCGCACTTACCAGGCACTTTGGAAGAGACGAAAACGAAAACGAACACCCATCAGGCAATCAGACGAACGCTGTTTTGGTGCAGGGGTAACGCTGAAATGAATCCAAACTGAGGCCCCCAAACACTCACAGACCATGATTTCCCTGGTGTGTTTGGTCACCCAGCAAGAGCATGCAACATCCTTTCATTTGCGCATTTTCCAAAGGGCGTCCACCTACTGAATGAAGGGATGATCACAGCATATGAGAGTCGTTCTACAAACATGTCCACGGTTGTAGTGAACTGATTTCCAGAGCTTAGCCGCGTGTGTTATTCTCACTGCGATAGATGTGAGCAAGGGTGGTGGAAGGATTTCAAAAAAGACACTAAACAAGGTAAGCTTTTGTGGGAGGAAGGTCTCTATATTACAATAATACAGTTACAGAGTTTAAGGATGTTGGTTTATGGCGATGTGGTCTGGAGGCAAAGCTCTTAAGGCTCAAAAAAAGAGTCTTTCTTTTCTGGATGGTTTATGGGAAAGGCGAATGCATCCTAGCTCACGAGGGCCTGGCAACATTCAACTAGCATTCATCTCAATGCATGCCAATGTGGAAAGTCCGTGAAACCAACGACGAAACACCCACAAGCCACGCGGTGTCGGCATGCGAAAGAATCAATGAAAGAACGGCAAGCACCTGCACCGGTTCCGGCGCCTTCCTGACGATAAAAACAAAACGGTCTTTTGCATGCCATAAGCTGACAGCCTTGATTCATAAACCCAATTTGGATCGTAAAACCCTTATAAAACCTCTTCAGGCCGTGGCTTATTGATCTAATGCAGTCGTTTCAACCACATGTAGCTCAGTCGAGTGGAAGGTCCAACCACCGGGTTACGACGGAAGCGGTGGAACATCGGCTCGCGGAACGAACGGTGCTGGTAAGATGCGGGAGGAGACGACGAGGATGTGCCGTGTAGCCGCTGCAAGACCCTTGGTCCTCTTCACGTGGTTGGTTTTTCTGCTTTTTTCGTGCCGCAGAACACATGGTTCAATTCAAAGACAACCATGAGTCAGGCCACGGCCCACAGCACGCACCGTCCACAATTCCCAGACATGACACGACGACGGCAACGGGCGGTGTGGCCGACGCCGATCGGTCGGTCCGCGCTGGTTCGCAGGTGATGCTGGCAGCCTCTGAACTGGGCCCCTACATCCCCGGCCTGGGCCAAGCGTATCACACCTCGGTGCTGATCGACAATGAGGAGCTCCTTGGAGAGTAAAGGGGGCACGGTCTCCCTTGAGTGGTGAGAGTGGTTGGTAGAGGTTGAAGTGGAGTGAAGCGTAGGTGGGGCACCCCAAGCATCCAGAAACAGCTGTTGTTCTCTTTCTGTTTTTTGGAGGGCCAGGTTTTGCCAGAGAAGGTGTCTTGAAGCCGCTGATCGTTTCGAGCTGGCATTCAACACATGGTGTTGCTGCGCCACGTGTTGCTGCGCCAGCGTCGGCCGAGTCGTCGGCCGAGGTATCAGTTCGATGGCAACGGCATTTGCGTCAGCCGGGCCCACGGACATCGTGGACACCGTGGACTCGCGCCAGGGAGGACCCGTGGTTGAAACTCCCAAGCAATCACCGCGGGTTGGCAGGTTTGAGGAAGTTGATCACCTGAGAATCAAGGGAACCCTGAGGTTTGCCTCCCGGAAACTTCAAACTTCTTCGCAGAAGAGTGAAAGACCAACAGACTAGCCTGGCGGAACAACGCTATTAGGGGCTCGTGGCATCGCTACTAGGAGCAACATCTGCCAAAAATCAACAGACCCACAGAGCTCGTGCTTTTTCTGTGCGAGCGTTTCGGAGACCAAAGCGCATTGATCCCCATTTCGTGGTCCTCAAAGCCAAGCCGAATGTCAGCCCCGAAGCTGGATTCACTGAGGACGACATGAGCAGGGGGTGTCCAAAGCCAGCAGCGAACTCCGAACTCACAATAACTCACATGATATTGATAGTTATATATACAGTATACTTCAGGAGGAAGAACGTTTTTTTCTTACCGCGTTTTACCACGTCTATTTCGCGCGGCCAGTGTGGGACGGTCAATTATCACCCTCTTTTAAAATTATAGGGCGTTTATGCGAGAACAAATCAGAGAGAAACCTGCTGGTGCCCTCTTTTTGGGGTTCTCCCAACCATCCATTCCACCACTCATTCTTTCCATTCCACCCCTTTTCCGCCTGGAACCAGGTCAAGGCCTTACCAGCCATGCGCGTTTTACACGTGGCCACGAGCTGATTCTGCTTGGTCACACCACACAAAGTCCCAAGGCGCGCAGAATGTTTCACGACGTACGAAGGCCAAATCTCCGGCGAAGAGATCCCGCTGTGGATGTTTGATTGGTGTGTTTGTTGTTTCCATGGCAAGTATGGTTATTTCTTACTAATATCATACTAGTATCATCCCTTTCTTACTAACATTATTTATCATATTTCCCCAAATAGTGCTCCGCACTAAGGGGTTCTTACGGTAAGAGTTAAGGGCCGGGTTTAGATCAGGGTTCGCGCGTGTGGGCCGGGCATTTTGCGTGGGCCGGCTTGCACAAAAGTAACTTTTTGAATTCCTCATGTCCATTTCGACTGCGCAGGCTCGCATAAAGTGGGTGTCGCAGTTTTCGCGCTTCGGGTGCCGTGCTCGTTTTCGGACATGAAGTGCATTTTGCGTGGCAGGCGCAAGGAATTCGACACATTGGAGCCTCGAAAAGGTCATTTTACGTGGCAGGTGCAAGGAATCGGAGACTTTGCAAATTTCGTGGCAGGCGCAGTGTTTTGTGGACGTTGCAAAAACGTTGGCAGGCGTGTGTCATTCGCAGGACTGCGTTTCACGTGGCAGGCGCAGGGAATCCGCACCATGGATGCGATATTTTGAGGTGAAACGGTTGAATTCGTGAGAGGGGTCGCATTTTTGGAATTTGAACTTGAGGATGCTTTTGCGTGGCCAGTGCAGCATTTCGTATGACCTGCAGGCATGATTTCGTAGCAGGCACAGCATTTCTGAAACGCATTTCAAAATTTGCGAAAGCCTCGTGCAATTTGCTCATTTTGGATCTCCGATGTGCAGATTTCGTGGCAGGCGCAGCACTTTGTGAATCTCGATGTGCAGATTTCGTGGCAGGCGCAGCACTTTGTGAATCTCGATGTGCAGATTGCGTGGCAGGCGCAGCACTTTGTGAAGCTCGATGTGCAGATTTCGTGGCAGGCGCAGCACTTTGTGAATCTCGATGTGCAGATTTCGTGGCACGCGCAGTACTTTGTGAAGCTCGATGTGCAGATTTCGTGGCAGGCGCAGCACTTTGTGAATCTAGATGTGCAGATTGCGTGGCCGGCGCAGCACTTTGTGAATCTCGATGTGCAGATTTCGTGGCAGGCGCAGCACTGTGTGAATCTAGATGTGCAGATTTCGTGGCAGGTGCAGCACTTGCTGAGTCTGGAAGTGCAGATTTCGTGGCAGGTGCAGCACTTTGTGAATCTCGATGTGCAGATTTCGTAGCAGGCGCAGCACTTTGTGAATCTCAATGTGCAGATTTCGTGGCAGGCGCAGTACTTTGTGAACCTCGATGTGCAGATTTCGTGGCAGGCGCGGTACATTGTGAACTTCGAAATGCTCCTATGTACTCGCCTATGTGCTCTGAGATTTGTGCTTGTATGTGCTCTCACATTTGTGCTCTCAGATGTGTGCTCTCATGTGCTCTCATATGTGCTCCCATATGCTCTCATATGTGTGCTCTCATTTGTGCTCGTGAATCTCGATGTGCAGATGTTCTTGAAGGGTTTTGAATTTCAATCTGTTTCTCTTTACACTATTTGGGGTCCCTTGCCGGTTTATTTTTTTTTCACAAATTACTGTAGTTATCCAATTATACTGAGTATGTAGGGTCTGTAAGTACAGAGGCGCGATATTTTTTTGGCCTCGCAAGCTTGAATATCAGAATATCCCTTTAAGCTGATTCGGTTTTCAGCGAAATGAGCTCTGAGAGGTTCATGTAAGTGCCTCTACTACTAAATCCAGTCTCTGTCTGTTGCTGGAGAATTATACCCACACAACCCACCATGCAACAAGAGTTTCTGACGTCCACTGCTGTATATGGCAGTCGATCAACACCTAAACCCTAGTTCCAGGGCGGTGCTTTGGGTGGTTCTGTGGAGGAACTTGGTTGCGGTGGGGATGCTTCTTCGATCCTGGTGACAAAGCGCTTGTCGTACCGGACCCTGCGGCGATCGAAACACACTTAAACTACTGCAGTCACTACGACCATGACCCCAAATGGATGGTTTAGTGGGGATTGCAGTGCTCCAGGATGTAAAGCAAAGGGGTTTTCTACCAGGTGAAGTAGAAGTCTTTGCACTGCGGAAGCAATGACCACAGAGCACTGCACGTTTCATCGTCGTTATTGAGCGGCACTTTCTCACAGGCGATGGTTGCGCTGCTGAAGGCCTACTTTCAGCCTGGGAGCTACGATCTTCTACGGAAGAACTGCAACTCATTTTCGAGTCCCTTGGAATGCCTAAATTCAAAATGAAGTGTGACAAACACCAACATTCTAGAGTCCTAGAGGCACCTCGCCACAAGCTTTGCTACTGTAGAAGAAGCAGACATGCAGCCAGCGGACCAGTGGAGATTCTGAAGGACCAGTGGAGAGGCTACCCGCTTTGGGAGAGTATCCCAAGCGATGAAAAGTCCATCCTCTGCTCTACTGCTCGGCCGACTGCGTCCTTCACATGGAGTTGGACCTAATTCAGGTCCATTGGTCCATTCTCCTGATTGATAATGTATTTGAAGTAAGCTTGTCAGGTCTCTCCGGCCTGCAGAAACGTTCGATGCTCTGCGCTTTCAGGTTGTGCGTTGCACTACCTTCTGGAGTCTTCGATCCTCGGCGAAGTCATGTCTTTACGGAAGGGGTGAGTCAGTTCGGACGGGCCGTGCCGTTGGGATGATCATCCCAACGGGACAGCTACTCCGGCACTGCCCTTCTTGGGACAGCTGATGGGCTGCTATAGCGAGTCTCACCCTCCAAGTTGGCCTCCAACCACTGGAGACGTAGAGGGCGTTGCGATTTGTTGCTCTTCTTTTTCTTCTTTTGCAACACAGGCCTTGGCGGCTTTTCATGCTTCGAATTTGAGGACCCTTTTTTTTATACTTTTTTTGAGAAATGCAGTTGGTGGGACGCAACAGATGCAATCAAGAAGGTTGCACTGGTCAAGTCTTTTTTTTGTTTATCTTTTTCAAGCTTGTTCAATCCTCGCACATGTCAGTTATTGTTTCTTAATACCACGAGGTTGATGCACAAAATCCAGGAACCCTGAGGCACATGAAATAACACAAGCTCTCCATTGTTTGTTTAGAGTTTAGATTCAGATACGTCCTTTTGCGGATATGTAGTCTGACCTGATTGTCACCAGGTTACTAGGCTCACAAGATGTGAAAAAGGCAGCACAGAAGAGCCTTCCCCTTCTACTTAAAGGGCACAGCAACAATCAACCAAAAAGATACGTCTATGGATAAACCAGGAACTGTTCTGAAAGACGGGTTGAATCAACCAGTTCCTCACCCAAATCTTTCTCCCCGATGCTTGGTGACCAAACGAGACGTCGAAACGAACGAGACATCGAAACGAATCCAGGATGGATTCCAAGTACTCTTTCATGGAATCGGTGGCCCAGAGCGTGAATAATTACATCAACCTTGCAGCTCGGTGGCCCTCTGCGGGTGGCTGTTTGGAGGGGTTGGGAGGAGAGTGGCGAGAGTGGCATGCATGTGTTCCATAGATGTGGGAATAGGTGGCTCTAGTAGTCTGGAAAAGCCAGCTGTGCCATAACAAACGCAGCATGTGCCAGTGAGGGCATCAGAGTACAACAAGTTGTTAGCATAGCGGCATATCAAAGCAATAGTTTGTTGGTTGGCCTTTTTGGCAGGGCACCAACTATCACACATTGAGAAAAGAACAATGTTAGGAGAAGCATACTTTGGGAACCACGCTGTCATGAATGTAACAGTCCTTCCCATCGCATTGTCCCCCCCATTTTCAAGCAAACCCCACATTCCCCCACAATGATGTGTAGTTGCTGTAGTTGCTTGAAAAAAAGCTAAGCACATTCAACATGAACCACCTTTCAAGTCTGAGATCGCACACCGGGTCTCCAAGAAGAATCAGCTCTCCACCGTGTGCGAGACAACCGAATCAAACCGCAGAAAACTCCGTGGCCTCTGGAGCGAGGTCAGCCTGATCATGCCCAATTACGAGCCGAACCCTTTCGCCGAAGGTTTCAGCCCGGGTGCCAAGGAAAGGACCTGCCGTTTTCGGAAAAGGAAGGACAGGACCGTCCTTCGCTTTCATGCGCTCCGGACGTGCGTGTTTTGTTGTGCAGCGAGCGTGTGTGAGAGTGTTCCGGGGATACCTCGTAAGTGACTGAAGGATGGCGAAAGATTCCGAACAGAAGAAGACCCAAAGAACGATTGATCACCGTAAGGAAAAAGGACTAAAAAACACACGTCTGCTTTAGACCCCCAAAAAATCCAGCGAATTAATTGAGGGTCATTGCGACTGTTTCGGTGGTGTCTGCTGTGGTTTCAGGTGGGCCCCGCCCGAGGATTCCCGCTCACTGGACGGAGAGATCCGAAGTGACGATGTGGGGAGGCAATCGGTGGCCAGGTAGGTGACGAATAGGTGAGGAAATCACGTGCGGCCCGACGGCAAATTCACAACGTACAGCATACTGTCATCTAAATATAGTCTATTATATATATATTATATAACTATATATAATATAACATAATATAGTATAATATAACATAATATACTATATATATTTTCTCTCTTTCAGGCGTCGACTTGGTCTGTCGGGACATCAATCTGCAGAAGAATGCGATGAAAGGACGGAGTTTGGACGCACCGGGCCGAATCTTCGGGTCGTTGGATGGCCATCAACAAGGATGCTTCCCGAGTTTGCAGAAGAAAACATCAATTGGATTCAATTGGCTTGGATTGTCAAGAGTGTTCAAGGAGTAAACTATGCTAATTACTGTATATATATATTAATATACTCTAAAATTCTTTACATACAATTGCAGAGTAGCACGTCGCAATTGGTGGAGCTGCTGACGCACCTGGAATCGGTTGATGATATTGATACATCAAAAGCAGTCTTGGGATCCATGGTTCCATTGTTTATTCCACAACACAGGCCAAAGCACTGGCAAGAGCTCCTGGCTCCGTTTCACAAGTCGTCTTCCAAAGGACGCGCAAATCATTTAGCAACCACTGCTGGCCCAGGATCCCAAAGGCAAAGCCGTGCATGGAACCTTGTCTGGCGCTTGCAGAGGACCGGTTTCACACGTCATCCATCCATCCATCCATCCATCCATCCATCCATCCATCCATCCAT